AGGGCCACCATGGGGGGTCACCACAGGTCCACCACCAGGCCACTGGGATTCCCCCACCCTGGGGACCCCGGGCTGTCACCCTCCCTCACCTCGGTGACGATGGTGTCAGTGAAGATGCCCTCCAGGTACATCCAGCCGTCGTGGCACGGCTCGGTGGCCGCCGCGGTGGCCGTACCGTTGGCCGCGGCGCTGGCCGAGCCGTTGGCGTCCAGGAGGTGCCACTGGGGCTCCACGTAGCGGCGGCAGCGCTGAGGCCGGTGGTGGCCGTCCCAGGGGATGGACACCACCAGGGGGACGTCGGCCGCGGTGGCGTTGGCCACTGGCCGGGGCCGGCAGTGGTGCTCGGGGACGCCGGCGGTGAAGTTCTGCAGGAGGTTGTGGCTGGCCAGCATGAGCAGCGGGATGGCCAGCGCGGCCACGTAGGTCACCTGGAAGCGGCCCATGCCGCCCAGGCGGGCCAGCAGCTCCACGAAGGACATGGCCAGAGAGGGGACGGAGCTGGACACTGCCCAGGTCAGCTGGGGGTGGGAGGAGGAGGAAAGGGTAAGGATGGAGCAGGGGGTGGTCAAGGAATGGCCACAGGGTGGTCAGGGGATGGAGGATCCAGGGATAGATCCAGGGGTGGATCCAAGGATGGATCCAGGGGTGGATCCAGAGCTGGATCCAGGGTGGATCCAGGGGTGGATCCAGAGCTGGATCCAGGGACAGATCTGGAGGTGGATCCAGGGGTGGATCCAGGGATGGATCCAGGGATGGGTCCAGGGGTGGATTCCGGGGTGGATCCAGAGCTGGATCCAGGGATGGATCCAGGGACGGATCCAGGGGTGGATCCAGGAGTGGATCCAGAGGTGGATCCAAGGTGGATCCAGGGTGGATCCAGGGGTGGATCCAGGGCTGGATCCAGAGCTGGATCCAGGGACAGATCCGGAGGTGGATCCAGGGATGGATCCAGGGATGGATCCAGGGATGGGTCCAGGGGTGGATCCAGGGGTGGATCCAGAGGTGGATCCAGAGCTGGATCCAGGGACGGATCCAGGGTGGATCCAGGGTGGATCCAGAGGTGGATCCAAGGATGGATCTAAGGATGGATCCAGGGATGGATCCAGGGGTGGATCCAGGAGTGGATCCAGAGGTGGATCCAAGGATGGATCCAGGGGTGGATCCAGGGGTGGATCCAGGAGTGGATCCAGGTGGGTCAGGAGAGGTCCAGGATGCTTTGGGTGGTCGGTGCAGGGATGGCCGAGGGGGGGAGGGAGGAGGATGAGGGTTGGATCCAGGGGTGGAGGAAGGACACGGAGGGGCCAGGGGTGGACGGAGGGCGGTGGGTGGTCCCCAGCTCGGCCACGGGACCCCCAAGAATGGCACCAAGGACCCCCTATTGATCCCCTATTGATTGGTCAATCCAATCAATCAATCAATCAATCAATCAATTTATTGGCCTATCAGATGGATCAGCTGATGTGTTGATGGATTGATCCATCCCTTGATCAATGGATTTATCAGTCCGACTGATCAATCTGCTGCCCAGTCTATCAATCTATCGATCTCTGTTGATCTATTGATAGATCATTCTATCAATCCATCAGTCTCTTTGATCTATCAATATATTGATCTATTCATCAATCCATCTATCACCCTGTCACTCTCAGTCTATATAATCAATCAATCAATCAATCAATCACTGGTTATTTCTTGCTCTCAGCTCCCCTCATCCCTTCCTTAATTAATCAATCAATCAATCAATCAATCACTGATTATTTCTTGCTCTCAGCTCCCCTCATCCCTTCCTTAATTAATCAATTGATCAATCAATCAATCAATCAATCAATCCTCTCTCCCCCTGTCCCACCAACCCCTGGGATCCCTCAGGATCGATTGATCCCCACCTGTTCTCTTCCTCCCTCAGCCGCTCCCGGGCTCCGGCTCTGGGACCGTCCGGCCTCTCCGGCCGTCCCTCTGTCCCTCTGGCCGTCCCTCTGTCCCTCTGGCCGTCCCCCTGTCCCTCCGGCCGTCCCTCTGTCCCTCCGGCCATCCCCCTGTCCCTCCGGCCGTCCCTCTGTCCCTCTGGCCGTCCCTCTGTCCCTCTGGCCGTCCCCCTGTCCCTCTGGCCGTCCCTCTGTTCCTCCGGCCGTCCCTCCCCCGGCCCCGCCCCCTC